GAAATATTCTACAAGACAATTGATCAGTTTTCTTCAAGTCAGTGCCATAGAAAGCATTAAGGATGGGATACTCTAGATGTCTAGATGAAAAGAGACTGGAGAAACACAGAAAACAAACCTGATGTTTGGCATGTGTTAGACCAGCGGTTCTCAACCCGTGGGTCGCGACCCCTTTGGGGGTCGAACGACCCTTTCACAGCGGTCGCCTAAGACCATCGGAACACACACATATATATAATTACATATTGTTTTTGTGATTAATCACTATGCTTTATGTTCAATTTGTAACAATGAAATTGGGGGTCACCACAACATGAGGAACTGTATTAAAGGGTCTCGGCATTAGGAAGGTTGAGAACCACTGTGTTAGACAGTTAGAGGTAGCTGAGTATAGATTGGGGACTAGATGATACCGAGGAATCATTAATTTTATTCGTTGTGACAGTAAGTAGTAGAAGTAGGGGGTGAAATGATACAATATCTTTAATTGTTGAAATTGGATGATAGTACACCAGGTTCACTATACAATCGCTCTACCTTTGTTATATGTTTAAAAATTTTCAAAAAAGCATATTATGATTTTTAAAAAAACCCTCTACCTACAAAGGACAACAAAGGAAGCAAGCAGCAGAATAGTATGTTACCATTTGTGAAAAAAAAGTGAACCTGTTTATTTTTTATAGACATAGGATATCCTGGAAGGATATGCAAGAAACTGGTAAAAGTGCTCGCCTCTGGAGAGAGGAACTGAGTGATTGGAGGACAGGGGTGGAACGGAAACCATTCAAGTAACTTCTTGAAGAGGACGAAGACATTACAAAAGGAGTGCAATTAGTTTTCATACATTTGGCTCTTATGAGTTTGATTAATTTCTCCCAATACCCTTGTCATATATTAGTTGTAAACTGGGCATTTGTGGGGCACATTCGACTGAGTTAACTTATTTAAATGACAGTAGAGAAATTTATTTAATAAACATGTATTCATTGTATGCTGCTATGGGTGCTGGGCTTTAGGGGACAAAAAAGATGAGTCAGACACTTGTCATTAAAATGATAAGGCTTAACATCAACTTACTAATGCTTTCTTTTTTACTTTAAGCATGAAAAGGAGGAACCTCAGGATGACTACTTTTATTTTGGCTGTCTTTCTGATTCATTAAGAAATGTATTTATCTGTGCCAAGTAATATGAATAATGAAGATTTGTCAGAGGTATGACGGAATCTCAGTGAATATAGAGACTTGATGTGTTGGATATTCTGTTCTTAGTTACTGTAGCAAAATCCTTAAATAAGAGAATAGCATGAAGTGGAATTAGAGAGCTAAGTGATAATAAAATACCACATCATTCCACTGATTATGTAAAGAGCCCTATTTTTCCATAGTAGCCGCGTGATTCTGAGCTACATATACATACATTAAAAAAGATAGAACCCTTTAAATTCAAAGGAGACCAAAATGATGTTTTTGCAAGTAATTTTTCTGATGTTATGGAAGATGAAATGTTATGCCCTTATTTCTATTTTATCTTTGGGTGAAAAAAAGTTAAGCTAATTGAATTGGTGCTGAAGGTTTTTGTTTTAAATCTTATTCAGATTACATTGGGGAAATATTTAAAGAATAATGTTAAGAGCTGATGCACTACAAATCATTTGAATGGCTGTTTTCTTCTTTTTCCTTCCCTTTCTAGCTCCCCTCTAACTTACCTTTGACAAGGCACTGTATCATGCCAACTTTACAGTCTTTGCAAAGTGGCTCTGACTAATGATGAGAATTCTGAGTTTGTCAAAATAAAGATAGAATACCGTGAAAATGCCCAAAGTTGGACAAATCTCAATGGAATCACAAACCGAGGACAATCAAAAGTTCCTAAACTGATGGAGCTCCAGGAGATGGGTCTGGCAGGGAACCAAAATATATTCAGAATGGTGAGACAAATACTATATGAGGCAGTTCATCAGAAATCCTGCACTGTAGTTGACCTTAAAGGTTCCAGGCCACCCTAAGACACCTGCTTTGGGCTGGTTTGAGCAACAGAACATAGGGCTACCAGGACCACAGCTGATCCACTGTGCCTGGTCTTGGTCTGGAAGAACCTTTTCTTTGGTGTTTTCTAAACCTCTGAAGCTTATAATTCTGAGGGAGTGACTAGATGAAAGGAGACCTTTAAAGACCTCTTATCAACAGAATCAATTTGAATATCAGGTGTGGCCTCTCTAATCTTTCCAACCCTCCTGAAAGGCAAGGGCTGTAATTTATTCAGTAGGATTCTGCACAGCTGGGAGGAAGAGTGTTTTGTTCATAAGTGCTGGCACCAACCCAATAAATACTTTTAAAATTGATTTAAAGAAATAGGCAAGTTACAGTTGTGTGGGACTTATTTATTTTGTCTTTGATGTAGACCCAAAGCCATCACTTATCTCTCTGAAGTTAAAACAAATATATTCATGTAATTTCTCTCAACACTTACTATATTTCAGTTCATCACTTTTAATTATGTAATAAAAATACTTAGTGACAAATATGAGCTAATCATCTTATTTGTTTAGTATATATCTATTCCATTTTAGATTCAGAATGATATTTCAAACATGACAATAAATGTATTAGTTTTAAAGTAGGTCTTAGCCTAGACAAACTGTTTTAAGAGTTTTGTGGCCCCTATAAATAAATACATCTCCAGAATCAAAGAAGTCAATCTATTCAACATAGTTTAGTGATAGAGGGGCAATTTACTATGACCCCAGATTTAACAATTTTTTTTTAGTGTCTTTCTATAATACCTTGCTATTACAGACCATTTAAGAAAAGCATGATTATCTATATAACAATTTTTAAAATGGCAAATGACTAAAGAGACTTAAAGGTTTCATATTTAGTAAGAGTTTTGATGATCCACAAAAATATTTCAAAAACATTTTTAACCAGTTAATAACCCCTTCTCAAATCAATGAGTAAGTGACCAAAAGAGAAACATCCTACTTCACATACTGTTTATAGTAACCATTTGACTTGGATTTAAGATGAATCCAATTTAGCATTATTATTGGTACTCTTCTAGATCCCATGTTTCTTGACATTTCAAGAACCTTCCATAGTGTGTTTTATAGACGATAGAAAAAGAAAAATTAATCTCTAGCATGTCCTGTGTTGGGTACAATAATAACAATTGTTTCCTGAATCCATGTAAGCAATTTTCTCTTAAACAGACATTTAAGTCTGCACCTATCATTCCATCCTGAATAGTCATGAGGTGAGACCCCATGCTTAGAGAGAGCTAAAAATCTAAAATATAGCCCAGCCATTGTGGGTCAGTGGTTGAGCATCCACTTATAAAACAGGTCATGGTTGGATTCTGGGTCAGGGCACAAGCCCAGTTTGGGGCCCAATCACCAGTAAGGGGGTGGGGGTGGGGTGGGAGGGGCGCGTGCAGGAGGCAGGGTATAGATGTTTCTCCCTCATCCATGTTTCCTTCTCTCTATTCCTCTCCCTTCCTCTCTCTAAAATCAATAAAAAAATATTTTTAAAAACCCCAAAATATATTAATCCTTGCAAAATGTCAAATATCTGCTTTTCAAATAAAATGAAAGTAACTTAATTACATGCTGCACCAAAACTCAGATAATATTCCCTCTATAATTATTAGGTAATATTCTCTCCTAGAACTTATAATTAAAAAGAGTTGAAGAGGTTTCTGTAAAGCTAAAGATGTCAAATGATAATAGAAGCCTGAGTATCTTGCTTTCATCTTGGTTCTGAGTATAGGCAATTTGTAGAAAATGTGGCTTCCACATCCACCTTTCCCCAGGGAGTGGACACAATTCTGAAAGGGGGATAATGTCATAAACTGTTGGTGTATTGTATTAAGAGAACCACTAGAAGATATCACAACACCACACAAAATATGATTTTATAAACAAATGTGGAACAAATACTGGTAGAATTTCTTTTTTCTCTTCAATATGGACACAATTGGGTTTGCTCAGGTATACACATATGCACACAGGAAGTCAGGAGGTTAAGACTAATAGTGCAATGGGGGGAGGGGAGCAATTGCATATCATCTGGCTCTTTAGCATCAATCAACTCCTGGTCTGGTATTTAGAGCTCTAGCTTGTGGGAAAAAATGGATTTTAGTTCTAGATGTATTTATAATGGTTTACTCCCCCAAATGCTGCACTCTTTATTCACACAGAATGTGGTGTTTTGTTTTCCAGTTCCTGATGCTCTGCTTGGCAGGAAAAGGGACAGTCTGAAGGCTTGGTAAATTGATTAGATGGAATGAGTTTTACCCCCGGTCCTAGATAATCTAAAATAAACTGCCACCATGTTTTCCTCTGCTGGGTGGAGACAAAGCTGAAGAATGTGAACTTAAGTCAGATTTTTTGCTGGTCTACAGTGAACTATGGTCACTGACTACTATAGAGAGAGAGGACTAAGAGCCAACTCTAAATTTAGAAATAATATCTTTTCAGACCTCAGGGAGGAGTCTCATTTTCAGAGCACTTACTGGTTACTGGTAAAAGCAATTTTACATCTATTGGGAAATTGTTGAAAAATATACTGCTAGGCAATAGAATAGTTAGAATTGGGGTTTCTAAAGAAATAGTAAATGGCTTTGAGGTCCTAAGAGGTTAGAGAAACTGAGGTATGATAAAAAATAAGTGAAATGGCCAAAGTCAGTTGGTTAGAGGTCAGGACTAAAGCAAAGAGTTCTAGGATTAATATTCTCTCTCACTGGGGGAAGTGTTTGACTGATGGCAAGAGAACCAAAAATAGTGCTAATTAGATTAGTAATTCACAGACACACAGGCACCTGCACTTTGCGCCTCTGCATGTTTTAGGGTTTGGCTGCTATTTTGAAAAGAGTAAATTACTAGATTAAAGCAATGCTCTAACCCTACAAGCTCTTAGCATCCCAGAATTATGCTGATAGTCTACTGGGAGAAAGAACTTTTCAAGTATCTTAGGAACTAGCCAAGTAAATAGGAAACAAATATGCTATTTTCATGAAATGAATATTTATTGAGCACCCGCTATGTGCCAGGCCCTCTGTAGGCAGGAAGATGCAGTTAAGGTCCTTGCTGTCATGGGGCTGACCTTCTATCATTAAACAGCACCTCACTGGCAGGCTGCGCAAGATCATGGGGATACTTGAATTAAATGACGGAAAATCTTGAAATCCAGTTTTGGGGGGAAAGAACAGATTTTTGAGATGCTTGATGGGAAGCCATTGGGCCCTATCCAGCCAGGAATAAAGGAAGAGAAAAATTATTTTGCAAAAACTTTTCTATTTTGATGAGCTTCTTTTGATGTAAACCTGGCACGTGAAACACAACAATATGGTTGCTCTTGGTCAGTAAACCCAGGGACAAGTTAGGTGGCATAATTTAATGAGCTTATTACCGATCTCTTACAGTAATGAATAAACATTCACTTCTTAACCATCCTCAGAGGTGGCTTGCTGCCACCACCAGTTATTCTGTTAGACTGGTGAATGTTGAAAAAGCGGTGGTGAGCAGAAACATTTTACCTGTACAATTAGAAACAGTCTATCCCCTGCAATTTTGAGGACTTTCTCAAGTTGCCAATTAATTGGTTTTCTGACTGTGCTTTTTGATTTATAAAGTTTATTCTCTACTCTAAGTAACAGAGTTGTACTCTAAGTTTATACAGATCTCTGTGGTCATCATAAAATCAAGTTCATCAGCTTGGAAAAAGACTTGCTATTGTTCTTACAGAATGTCCAGTCTTATCCAATGTCCCAATGGACTTAAGATAGTTTCAATTTACAAAATCAACTCACTCTCTAGTTCAGAGAGCAACAGTAGTTTCGTGCTCTGTTAAACATCAAAAAGTTGAAGTAGTTTAATTTATGAGTAACTGGACAGATTTGCTATCTATTTCTTAGGAAGAGGGATCTATTTTGGTTCTTTGGTACCGGCATTAAGGGGACAAAAGGCCAGGCCTTTTCTTATTTAAAACTTTTTTGAAATTACAAAAATAATGTGCTTCTTACCGAAAAATCAGTAACTAAGCAGAAAAAGAAAAATCACACACAATTCCACCAATCACTGAGAGACCTAGTTAACGTCTTGGTGTTTATCTGTCCCCCACTTTTCTGCCTCCACATATGTTTTTAAATTGGAATCCTGTAGTGTATTGTGGCTCGTTTCCTCGCCCACTTAACCTTCACATCGCTCCAGGTCATCTTGCATCATTTCCTGATGACTGTTCTCAAAAAGACCTAAGTGACCACGGACCAGCAGAGTTTCAGAGTCTGCGTGACCAACACGTGCGGAGTCCCGCCGCCAGTTCCCGCAGCAGAATAGCCCGCAAGGTCCTCACGCCGGAACCGCACCACGCTTTCTCCGGGGCCTGGGCAGCGGTGGGGAGAAGCGCTCTGCGGACCCAGGGGCCCCATTCCAAAGATGCCAGTCTCCCCCACCCCACCCCAATCCCCCTTACACAGCAGAGGTCCAATTCTGGGGAGCCGGGGTCACCCTGCGGGCAAAGACAGCCCGCGGGGGCCCAGCCCCTTCCCGCGACAGCTCGGCCGGCGCGTCGCCTTCCCCCGCGGACCCTCTATCACCGGCCGCGGGCGGCGACCCCGGAGGGGGCGCGGGAGCGCCAGCACTGGCCCAGCCGGTGCCGCGTCCAAACCGGAGCCGTGCGGAGACTCGCGGGGCCGCGCCGTCCCTGAGTGATGACGCGCTTCCTGCCCTCCCCGCGCTCCCGAGCCGTGCGCTCGCGCTCGCCCTCGGCTCTTGTTCCGCGCCCGGAGCCAGCGGCGGCGGCTGGGGCTGAGGCGGCTGCGGGAGCGGAGCGGTCGCCGGGCGCGCGGGGGGGACGCCGGCTGCACTCCCGGGCAGGCGCTCTGCAATGAGACAGTAAATGCATCCCCCGGTAAGGCGCACGGCGCACTCGGGTTTTCCTCCTCCTCCAGCTGCATGCACGTTGCATGAATTTCTCGTGTCTTTTCCCTCCCGACAGAAGGAAAATGTGGGTGGTTTTTCCCTTCCTTTTGCCTCTCGTGAGTGATGCCAATGCAGAAAAAACCCCGCAAACCTCCCAGATGTGATGTTCTAGGAGGGCTTTCTGCAGGAAAATAAAAATAAAATGAAATCAATGCACCTGCCTACTGCACATGTATGTTTCACTGCACTCGACCCGGGCGCAGCGGTTTGCAAGCAGCCTCGCAGCCGGCGCCCCAGAGCGGATTCCTGGCCGCGGGCAGCCGGTCCCCTCCGGAGCTCCCGCTGGGTTTCCGGTAACTGGGCTTTGAAAAGCGGCCTCGCCCGCCTGGAGTGTCCCCTCGGCCCCGACCGGGCCCCCGTGCCAGGAGAGTTGGCGCGGGCGGAACGGCTTCATTCCAGCACTGGCCGCCCCGACTCCAGCGCCACTTTGCAAACAAGTCTCCGGCCAGGCTTCGGGCAAAGACAGCCCGCGGGTGCCCAGCCCCTTCCCCAGTCCGGACTCTCGTACCTGCCTATCCCACGACCCCCCCTTACTTGGCAATTTCGTCACCAGCAAACTGCTGGTCGCTGAGGGACGGGGGCAGCGCCCGCCTAGAGCGAGAGCAGGATTTGGATTCAGTGTCGCACTGGACTAGCGGCGCCTCTCCTTCCGTGGCCCCACGAGCTGAGATTTCGCGCCCGCTGGGACCCGGGGTCCCGGAGACGGGCATTTCGGGATTCCCGAAGGAGACCGAGGAACGACGTTCGAGGGCGCCATATTTTCAGTGGGTCTTGGCTGCGGAGGGGAGGGGGCGCACAGTTTTTGGGCCCGGGAGATAGTGCGGCGCCCCCGCACGAGCGGTTTTCGCAGGGAAAGTTTGGCTCCGAGGCCCGCGCGGAGGCGGCCGCGCAGGGCGAGCCCGGCGGCTGTCCCCTCAGGGGCGCGCGGCTGCAGCGCTCGCCGGGCCGGCTGGGGTGGAGGGCCCGGAGCCGCCGTCAGGGACACGCGCGCGGCTCGCCTCCTTCCCCTGTCCCGCCGAGACCCGGCGTTTGGGCTCCGAGGCTCAGGAACACGCCCCTCTCCCGCCGCCCGGGCGCTCTGCCGGAGCCGTGCGCCTGGCGGCGTCCTCCGGTCGGGCGCGGGGTGCAGGGCTTTTCCCCAGCGCCTGGGTTCGCCCGGGCGCACCGCAGGGCGCGGGGAGCTCCCTCCTTGCGGGAGAAGAGGCGCCCGGGTTTGCGGCGCAGGGCCCAGGGCCTGGCTGGCAGTCATCCCGGCCGCAGAGCAGCCTGAGCCTCCTACCGCCTCCTAGGCTGCGGCGGGGACAGCAGGAGCGCCCGCGGCTGCGTGCTCCGCTGTCGCCGCGCTGCCAGCTTGCGCTGGCGAGGTAAGGGGGCGTTTCCAGAAGTTGGGTTTTCAGGTGACGCGTGGGGAAACTTGGATTTTTGCCGAGGTGACTTGGGAAATGGGAGTTGATTCAGAATCCCTGTGTGTTGTGAAAACTCACCTCCGGTTATTTCCAGAAGATGAGGGAGGAATGAGCTGAAGTGTTGGCGTGGTCCAAGACTCAGCTGAAGACCGGAGGGAGGGAGGAGGTCCTGGCGAAATGGATCCCCAAATGACAAGCACCCTGGCACTCTTAAGTCCCACTCACTTTGGCGTCTAATAGTACCTGGGTGTGCTGAGCTGTGGCACTCGCCAGGTTGTGCGCTATCGCCCCTTCTCTGGAGCTTGGAGTTGGCGACTTCTTAGGAATGAGTGGTGGGGGGAATCTTTGCTTTTTAAAAAAATGTTTTTATTGATTTCAGGGAGGAAGGGGGTGGGGGGGAGAGAGATAGAAACACCAATGATCAGGAGACTGATTGGCTGCCTCCTGCACGTCCCACGAACCCACAACCTGGACATGTGCCCTGACCTGTAATCTAACCGGGACCCCCTGGTTCATAGGTTCATGCTCAACCGCTAAGCCACGTGGGAATTTTTACTTTTAAAATAGATTGTGGCTTTTGCTTTGCGAAGGGGCAGGGGAAGTGTGTGTTTGCTGACCAGCAATCAACTGAATGGAGGAACGTACCGGCCTTGGCTTCTTACTGAAATATTGCCACAGTATTTGAGATCATGTCAGCACTTTGGGGCTTCATCATTGGAGAGGCTTCCAGGGATCACAGAAAGGGAATACGGTGGGAGGAGGGTGGGGAAGCTTCTATCTGGGAGATGTGCCCTGTGGTGTCAGGGGCTAGGCTGCTCCTTCCGTGTCCACTTCATTAAGTGCCTCCACTGTGAATGTCAGCCGGCCTTCCTGGCTTGCCGATTCGTGATGTCCATACAAAATCCGAGGAGAGGTCCTGGCTGTGACAAGCGGCCATGAGGAGAGAAGGCACACCTGCATGGATGCTGGAGTTTTCATTGAGCCCTAGGACTGTGGAAAGCACCCAGAGCCCAAGGTACATTTCTCTAAAATTAGCATTAATGTACTAATTTAGGAGAGAAATCGGTTGCACAAAGCCTCCATCCATTTTGTAAAGTTCCCACTTGAATCACAGAACCGCAGGGCTCCTCAGATGGGGGGAGTCACTGGGTTCCCTCTGCCTTTGTGCCCCCTCTTTTTGGTATTGGTGTTGCACTTCTTCCTCTGCAGGGAAAGTGAGCTTTCTTAGTTGACCTTTTTGTATGAGTACTGGGCATATTCCTTACAGGCAGAGGCTCATATGTGTGTGTCTTTAATTCACCTGCTGCTAAAACTATTTGTTCAGGGTTTTTCAAACACTTCCCTAGATTATTTTTAAGTGAAATCAAGTTTTATAAAGAGGTGTGTGTGTGTGTGTGTGTGTGTGTTATTTTTGAGTCCAGTTTCGCTTATATTTCTAAATTATAGTGATTCCCCCACTCCTCCACTCCTTCTCAGCATATCATTAGTTCCCAAGAGCAGTTAAAGATGGTTACAGGCCCTTGCCCGTTTAGCTCAGTGGATAGAGCATCAGCCCTTGGACTGAAGGGTCCTGGGTTTGATTCTGGTCAAGGGCTGTACCTTGGTTGCAGGCTCAATCCCCCACCCTCTAAAAATCAATGGAAAAACTATCCTCGGGTGAGGATTAACAACAATAACAACAACAAAGATGGTTACAGGTGGTAAACAATATAAATTTTTAACAACTGTGCACGGAAAAAAATCTACACATCTACAGATGTTTATTCATTTAGCATTGTTTTATAACTACATACATGTCACATGTGCATGTTTTAAACATCCTATATAATAAAAGCCCAGCAGCCAAACAGCAGAACAACCAGAATGACCCGTCGACCAGTCGCTATGACATGCACTGACCACCAGGGGGCAGATGCTCAATGCAGGAGCTGCCCCCTGGTGGTCAATACGCTCTCACAGTGGGAGTGCCGCTCGGCTGACTGGGATGAGCAGTGCTCCCACAGCAGGCTGATCCCCACGGGCCACGCCCACCCCACCAGTGCATGAATCCCGTTCACCCGGCCTCCAGTTATATAATAAAAATTAACTTTAAAGGGGGAAATTTTTGCAGTGAAGCTGAAATAGTTCTACTGTAAACTTTTTAATCTGTATTCCCAAGTTTTCTACTGTAATATTTCACTACTAACATTCTTTATTCAATTTAAACTAAAAAAAAGTTCACTAATTTATCCTATCCACCCTCACCCCCTACAACCACCAATTTGTTCTCTGTATCTATGAAATTTTTTTAATTCACATATAAGAAAGATCATATAGTATTTGTCTTTCTCTGTTTTATTTCATTAAGCATAATGCCTATGAGGTCCATCCATGTTAGAAATGGCAAGGTTTCTTTCTTTTTTTCCTTTGGTGGGGTTAATCCTTACCAGAGGATATTTTCCCCATTGCTTTTCAGAGAGAATGGAAGGGAGGGAGAGGGAGAGGGAGAAAGAGAAACATCGATGTGGAAGAGACACATGGACTGGTTGCCTCCCAAATGCGCCCAGACCAAGGGGCAAACCTGCAACTCAGGGACACGCCCCTGCGGGCCAGAGCTCTAACCACGTAGCATACCGGCCAGGGCAGTATTTTATTTTTTATGGCTGAATAATAATCCCATTGTATACAGAGGTGGGAAAAGTAGGTTTACAGTTGTGAGTACACAAAACAGTTTATTCTTGTGTTATTGTTTATTAATTATTGTATTCTTTATTGTTATTATTAATCTACTTTTGCCCACCCCGGTATATATACACCACAGTTGCATATATATAATTTTCAACTACAGCTGACACAATACCACATCAGTTTTAGGTGTACAACATAGTGACCAGACATCTATAATGAAGTGATCACCTTGACAAGTCTAGCATCCGACACTGTACATAGCTATCACGATACTATTGACTATACCCTCCATGCTGTTCTCCATATCTCCATGACTGCTCTTATAACGGGCAGTTTGACATCTCAATCCCTTTTCTGACCTATTCCTGCAAGACCTCTTCCCTCTGGCAACCATCAAAATGTTCTCTGTATCTATGAGTTTGTTTGTGTATTTTTTTCTTTAGATTCCACATGTAAGTGAAATCCTAGCATTCGTCTTTCTCTGTGTGACCCATTTCACTTAGCGTAATACCTTCTAGGTTCACCCATGTTGTTGCAAATGGCAAGATTTTATCATTCTTTTTTATGGCTGAGCAATATTTCACTGGATATATGCACCACATCTTTTTTCCCATTTGTCTATCATTGGACACCCAAGTCACTTCTATATCTTGGCCATTGCAAATAATGCTGCAGTGAACATAGGGGTGCATAAGTCTTCGTAAATTAATGTTTTGGGTTTCTTTGGATAAATACCCAGAAGTGGAATTGCTGGATCATATGGTAGTTCTATTTTCAACTTTCTGAGAAACCTCCATACTGTTCTTCACAGTGGCCACATAAATTTACAATCCTACCATCTCTACATCCTCACCAACACTTGTTGTCTGTTGATTTATTGATGATAGCCACTCTGACAGGTTTGAGATGACATCCCACCATGGCTTTTAAATTGCACCTCCCCAATGACCAGCTATGTTGAGCATCTTTTCATTTGTCACTTGGCAATCTGCATGAGTTCTATGGGGGAATGCCCATCCAGGTTCTCTGCCCATTTTTAAATAGGACTGTTAGTTTTTTTGGTGTTAAGTTGTATGAGTTC